TAACCTAACCTATTTTTAAAGCGATGTGTCCCGATAACTTAGTAATTGAAAGTGATGTTAAATAAACCAAGAATATGTAAAATGTGAGAAGTATATCGTGTCTGATTTGAAGTTTTCGCGCTGACATAACTGAATAAAATCTTCTCGGGCAATCCGCTGATCGTCTGAGAAGATTTTATTTTGTATTGTGTCTGTTACCGTGCACAAGAACTTTTCTGTTCATTCAGCATTAAAAATAGATTGATTGGTCACTTTATTCTTGGTTAATTGAACAGTGAAGATTTCTGTCTTCTGGATTGTTGTGCCGTGTATTATGGTCGATGTTAACCAATGTTTCAGAGGTCATACTGTCTCCGTTGTCAGGGCGATTATTTTGAAGCCTAGACTTTGCTAAAATGTTATGATTTCCTTTCGTCTCCTACAGTTACGAAAGTTCTTAGTCCCACTTAAATATTTCCAGTGTCACTTTGTACAGTGAGAGATACCTGAAATTCCAGCCAAGTAAATGGTGATATCTAATTTATTGAAGACTTTGTTAAGTAACTTGAGGGCAGCCACTCCTGAGGGATCAATGTAACTGAGCGCCGAGAAGTCGAGGATAATGTATTGGATCTGAAATTTCTAAACACAAAAGTACATCATAAAAGTAGCTTAAATGTAAATAAATTAAGGACAATTCAAAGAGTGAATAAAATTTTACGTGTCAAGGTAAATGGAAAAGAATTGTATCACTGGCCAGAATTTGGAATACTGTAATAACAGTAGAAAAATAGGAAACAGCTACGTAACAACGAAATGATGAACTGTTTTTAAAACGTTACAGAATTTTCTTTCATGATTTAGTTCTACGAAAAGAATGTTTTAAGATTATGAAAATTAAAAATAAAATTAATATGAACTTTGATCTTCGTTGACTTTTCTTCTGCCTTGTCAGCATTCTACAATTTTTTGAAATAATTATTAACAAAATTAACATACTCTCCAACGAAAAAAAATTGAATTGGGAAAAGCGAACATGTAATTGGGTGAGTAAGATGTAAACTTTAAGCATCACAGGAAAATTTTAATAACAAGATAGTATCATAAAGTGAAGGTTACAGCTAACTAACTAACTAACTAGATGGCTTAGGGAACCTGAAGGTTCATCATCGAATTAACCAAAGCCGTCCACCGGTCCCTGTCCTGGGCCAGCAAAATCCAATCGCCTTCAACTCGTATCTCCCATAGAGATTGCAGGTAACATTTCTTTAACAGTTTAATAACTTCAGTATTCAAATTAGGATGATGAAAAATTTGATCTACTTCATTTTTACAAGTTTTTGAAACCAGAAGCACAGTCACTGGTCGATTATGTTTAATTGATGTACGCGTAAGGTCTTACCTCGTCAGTAAAGCTTCCATATGAAGAGACTTGAGGTTTTATGGGGGTGTTCACAGTGGGTACGTGTTCTGAATCCTCGCTGTGTTCCACAAAGCTGATGTTCGTTTTATGGGGGTGTTCACAGTGGGTACATGTTCTGAATCCTCGCCGTGTTCCACAAAGCTGATGTTTACAATACCTTCCTGTGCAAGGAAAACATTTTAATTAAAGTTTAATAACTAAATCTGATATATCCTTCGTGGATCGTTAGTATGAAGACTGTCACTTATGAAAAATATATTCTTTGTGATTTTTCTTGGCCATTACAGATAAAGTATGTAATACAACCACTTAATTAAAAGTCACATCCCTAAATAATCTTTGTAGTCAATATAGGGATTAGCCCTGTCGATTGGGCGCAACAGAGTAGGTTTTACCTGAAGACGGAGATAGACTCCTATCTCCGAAACGTCGGGGTTTTATTTAGTCTTGGACAATGGAAAATGTCTAGAAAACTTTGCTTCAACAACGCGTCATTGTCACAAACTTTCAGAATTGACAATACAATATTGTTGAGTAATCTGTAATCTATGTTAGTTGTCGTCTGTCCTCACCCTGGCTTCATCTGGTCTACCGTCGACCCGACTTGAGGTTCGACTCCTTCGTTCCAGTTTCTCTCTGTGTGCTAACTCCTTTTGTGGGTTTATGCCCACAAGTCGGTACAGTTCGGTCTTGAAGTGACTTCTTGTTGCAAAGTTTAGCCCACCGCAGTAATGGAAAATTTTAATTCCTATAACCTCGTGAGCCTGAAAGGAAAATGCTTTGTAAAATCCTGTCCCCACCAGTTGAGGGGAGGATTTGGGGATTATTGGAGTGAGTTGCCTACTTTGCATAAAAATAAAAATATTTTGAAGTTAGATTTTTGATGTAAGATTTGAGGTTTTCGCAGCGGTGAGTCTGAAGATTTCTGTCTTCTGGGTTGTTGCGCTGTGTAGTCTGGTCGATGTTAACCAACGTTTCAGAGGTCATACTGCCTCCATCATCAGGGCGATTCATCGCTATGGCTATAGGAATAAGGTAACTTGAGATATGTAGTCATGAAAATGGGAACGTTATATTTTACTACGAAGAAGGGAAAATGAAACGTGATTTAGGACGTGGTATTGTAGTAAGTAAGTTTGAGGCCTCGTGTAACATTTCGTAACTTTTTGGTTTTGTACGGTGGGGAGTTTTTAGCTCTCCAGTTGAACTCCCAAGATGGAGAGTTATCCCTTATCTGCTGTACATAACTAATAATAATAATCCGTGGCGTAACAGCTTATTCAAAATATTTGAAACTATCATCTATCTGGAGGCCTTCTCCTCCATTCGCAATATGAGGCTGATGACAAGGGATCTACGTAACCGCCTGATTCTCAAAGTCAAAACATTTTAATAATATTCCTTCTGATAAAAATATATTTCATATCTGGACTTATAGATTGGCTATATATTCCTTCTGATAAAAATATATTTCAGTATGGTTAATATCTGGACTTATAGATTGGCTAGGTCTGATACTGATTACCATTTAGTTATTTAAAAAATAAGAGAAATATTGTCCCTGAAAGTACGAGCAGAGTGTATTCAAAATGGAGAAATTTAATCGTCATAATATGTAAATATCAGTTGAAGAGCTCTAAATTAATAGCACAAAGAAATAAAATTTGAAAACATCAAAGCTTTAGGGAACATATAAGAGGCAGAGTCAATGAGTTGGAAGAAATAATAAAAATTAATTGTATTATTAAAATTATTTAAGAAATATGAGATCGGAGGTTTCTACAGTGATGAAAGTATTGAATCCTATGACATAAGGCAGTTTTGTTGACTGCAGAGAGATTTCTAAAGGGCCACGCATTTGTTGAAACCTAAAACTTAGTTTTCTTTATGTGATGAGGATAGTGGTAAACTATATTCTGGTCAAACTGGGTGAATTTTGTTACTAAAAATTTATTTAACTACTCTTAAACCTCATCAAGTTCAAATCTATCAATTAAATGGTAAAAGTTTGATTACTTCAATAGTAATATTGTTACGTTTCATTAGAAAACTTACCTGCGTGTACCTGGTGCAGTCCAAATAAAGATCTATGTTTGGCATTACTCCCAATAGACACGTGTAAGGTTTCATGCTTTGGACTAAGATAGAAGCGAGGGAAAGTCCAAGCCCCACTAACAAACCATAATCAATGTCCACAAGGACCACAGTGAGGAATGTGATGATCCATACCAGGCCGTCTAACTTAGACAGTCGCCAGAAGGACGGCAGATCCTTGGCTTGGAGCAGCATCCCCTTTAGAGCCACTATGATGATACTTGCTAGTATGCACTGCAACAGATCTTAATGTCTCTCATAAATTCACTCCTTGTATTTTCCTTTTACATACATACATACATCTTCATTACATTCCATGGATCCATAAGTTAGTCAGATGACAATAGGATGTAGGATAAGTCATACTATTATATAAATGTCACAAAAATACAAACAAAGGGTTCACATGAAGTAGAGATAAGTTACAAATAAATACACCCATTATATACGAGGTGCGATCGGAAAGTTTCCAGACTGCGCCTATAAAAACCCGTACACTTATCTCAGGTATTAAATTCATCCATCACCCTCGAAGTAGTTCCCCTGGGAGTGAACACAACGATCCCAGCGCCGCTGCCAAGCCTGGAAGCATCCCTGGAAACCTTTCTTTGTCAGCCTGTCAAGCACCATCTGCAATTCTGCCTGAATCTCTTCTATCGTCTAAAATCTCCTTCTCTTTAGCTGAATTTTCATCTTTGGGAAGAAGAAGAAGTCACACGGAGCTTAGAAAGGAAGCTGGGGTCGGTTCTTGCAAGATCTTTGAGCTCCTGACAAACGAAAAGTCGATTCTGCTTCTGGTCCTCAGACAGGAGCCTTGGCACAAACTTGGCTGCGATGCGTCGCATGTGGAGTTCTTCCTTTAGAATCAGCTGACAGGCCCCATAGCCTATCCCAACAATGTCGCACAAGTCGTTGATGGTACGACGTCGATCTTCGTGAATGGCCTGCCGAATCTTCGTAACATTTTCGGGCGTTGTGCTCGAAGATGGTCGTCCAGAACGCTCGTCATCATCGACAGAGGTTCGGCCATTTTTAAAACGTGAATGCCACACAAAAGTTTGTGCACGACCCATTGCGGACTCCCCAAATGCTTGCTTTAGCATTTCATAGGTTTCCGTAGTACAATAGATAAATTACGACTTACTTGTAAACATTAGAAATTCATCGACAGAGTAAAAGGAGTGTGTAATTAAGTATCTTTTCAATGCTGGTTTAAATTGTGCCTTTTTATTTACAAGACTTGTGAGATTTGATGCTAGACTGTTGAAAATGTTGATCCCTGCATAATATGTACCCTTCTGAAAACATGAGAGGTTGGCAATTGGTCTATGAAGCTGATTTTTATTCCTTGTGTTGACAGGGTGTATAGCAGAATTAGTTTGAAAGAGTTCTTGGTTATTTACAATAAAGTTCATTAATGAGAATATGTATTCACATGGAAGAGGTAAGATTTCTAATCTCTTAAATAGACTTCTACATGAATTCCTAGGTTTTACACCAGCCAATAATCTAACAATTTTCTTTTGTAAAGTGAATATCTTTTTGATGTTTGATGAATTTCTCCAAAAAATTATTCCATATTTCATTAAAGAGTGAAAATAGGCAAAATATACTGATGGATACAACAACAAAATTTATCTTAATTCTTAGTCTGACGGCTGTAACATATTATGTAATGTGCTTAATGTTTAAAGGTAAGCTGTCTTCTGGTTTGTTGCGCTGTGTAGTCTGGTAGACGTTTGCCAACATTTCAGAGATTCTTGCTGCCTTCATCAGGGCGCTTATTGCCCTGATATTGGAAGCAGCAAGCACCTCTGAAACGTCAATAAACGTTTTCAAGACTACACAGTGCAGCAACTCAAAAGACAGCCATCTTCTTATCTGCTACTGTGTGAACGTCAGATTTCACTAAACATAAATTCTTTGGTTGTATCATTTTGCGTCATCTCACACAAAATTGAAAGAACACTATTATCCTGTCTTTAATGTGTCTAAATGTATTATATATTGATGATATTCAAATAACTTGTCTCATAGTGGCAAACATGGTATCATGGTTGAGTGGTTAGCACTCCTGCTTCATATTTGGGAGGTTTGGGGCCTGGTGTTTCACAATCACTCCAGGCAAATGCTGGATAATAATTTTGTAAATTATTCCATATCCTTTCCAATTTATTATTCGCCATCATCCTGTCATTTGATGCTCTATAGTCTGAGATACTGAAATTGCCATTAATAAACTATAAAAAATAATATCATAGTACAAGGTTAAGTTCTGTTATCAGTGGGGAGATTCCAGACTTGAGTTTGATCCATCCCACATTGCAGCCAGCTAAAAAACAGGCTACGCCTACATCTCTAACAAAATCGTTATGTCTCTCTGTCAGAAATACAAGAATTAATATCAAGTTCTTGCAGTGAAGTCTGTTCATTTATTTGTCGAAGGATTTTCAATTCTTCCTTTCTATACTGAAATCTTCTTTCAGTACACGTAAACATTAATAAAACTGTCAGACCATAAAACAATCCAGCTTCAATTTTACTGCATTGTATATTAAATGGTTCCATATGGTTAGATACGGACTGGGCGATCGGGGTTCGATCCCCGACAGGGGCAGAGACTTTTTCATATAGCCTCTATATCCAGATCGGCTCTGGGCCCCACCCAGTCTCCCGTCCAACGGGTACCGGGGTCCTTTCCCGGGGGTAAAGCACGGTCGAGGCGTGATGTTGACCACTCACCCCCCATCTAGTGCCGAGGTCAAGAATTAGTAGGAGCTATACGGGCTCTCCCCCCAAGTGCCTACATGGCGTGTAGCGGGACAGCTTTAATTTTTTATATAGTTTAAAAGTATTGGTCTAACTCAAATGTTCAGTATGCATTGTTGTTTCAAGAAGTTTTTTGTCTGTTGGTGTTGGAAATTAATTATTAGAACTAACAGAATATTAAAATGGTGCAGTACGTTTAAGTAAAAGAGCGTGTAATATAAGGTTATGTTTAAAAATAGTATTAAAATATATTAAAATTGTCCGTCAATCACAATAAAGTAATATAAGATAATTAAATGGTTAAAATATTATCCTTTGTTCCGTATCGAGTACTCGATT